CAGTTCCTAGATCTTGATGTTTTCCTCCGTCATAGTATGGACAAGTTCTATAACCTCAGCAGTTTACTCCATTGAGCACGAGACAATTCCTAGATCTTGATGAAGATGTTTCCCTACGTCATAGTATGGATGAGTACTATAACCTCAATGATATACTCCATTGAGCACGAGTCAGTTCCTAGATCTTGATGTTTTCCTCCATCATAGTGTGGACAAGTTTTATAACCTCAGCGGTCTACTCCATTGAGCACGAGACAGTTCCTAGATCTTGATGAAGATGTTTCCCTACGTCATAGTATGGACGAGTACTATAAACTCAACGGTATACTCCATTGAGCACGAGTCAGTTCCTAGATCTTGATGTTTTCCTCAGTCATAGTGTGGACAAGTTCTATAACCTCAGCGGTTTACTCCATTGAGCACGAGACAGTTCCTAGATCTTGATGAAGATGTTTCCCTACGTCATAGTGTGGACGAGTACTATAACCTCAACGGTATACTCCATTGAGCATGATTCAATTCCTAGATCTTGATGTTTTCCTCCGTCATAGTGTGGACAAGTTCTATAACCTCAGCGATTTACTCCATTGAGCACGAGACAGTTCCTAGATCTTAATGAAGATGTTTCCCCCAATTGAATTACAAACAGGTTCTTAAAACTCAGCTGAGACGTTCTCCCAGTTGAAGTACAGGCAGGTTCCTAAATCTCAACGAAGTTAGACTTCCCCAGTGGAATCTTCTACAACAACAGGTATGCAAGTTCTCGCTAAGGAATCTCTTATGCGATCGACACTCCTGCAGATGGCATCTATAAGCCCATCCTCCTACCAACAATCTCCAAATGGCATCTGTAAGCCCATTCCTGACATCACAATGCTGATACTACACCATTCGAGTGCAAATTTCTGGGCACTCTAGTGTTCAACCATCTTCCACCTTCGGATCACGAAAGGCACGCAAGCCAATCTACATCCTTAGGTTTAAGAAGATTGAACAGGGGCAACTGTTGTACCCCAAAATTTTCTCTCTCATGTTTTCCAAAGTCTCCCCCCTGCATGGTTGATCACAAACTCTTGCCTAAGGAAAAGGAAAATTTTTGAGTGATGCTTTAAGTACATTTCGATTGGCATTCTGAAAGACCCTTCGATTGGAATTCTGAAGGAGCATTTCGATTGGCATTCTGAAGGTGCACTTCGATTGGCATTCTGGACAGGCGCTTTCGATTTGCATTCTGAAAGATCCTTCGATTGGTGTTCTGAAGGAGCCTTTCGATTGGCATTCTGGACAAGCCTTTCGATTGGCATTATGGACAAGTACTTCGATTGGCATTATAACAGTGTCCTTCAGTTGGAATTCCAAAAAGGTCCATTCGAAGGAGCATTCAAAGGGTCCATTCGAAGAAGCTTTCGAAAGAGCATTCGAAGGAGACCATCATCCCATTCGAAGAGGAGCATTCGAAGGCCAGCTGCAGGTCATTCAAAATTCAAAAAGGGACAGGATCTCATGTGTTTAGCCAACGTTACAAACTATTATTCATGGCTTTCAAACACATAATTAACGTTACAAATCCTCCTTCATGACTGTCAAAACACATAATCAAGGTCATTTAAACCTTTGTCTTCCTGTCCCCTCCACCCCCTCTATATAAAGAAATCACAAATGTTGCACACACACAAAAAAATATACAGAAAGATAGAGAACTTGGAGATACGCTGCCAAGAAGCCATACCCAATCCTTGCACAGGCCAAAGCAACCCTTCAACAAAAACATCCACGCCTAGAAACTCCAGATCGAAACTGCTCACCTCCAGCAAGTGCCCAAATCGAAAGTCCAATCTGTTGGTAAGAAAGGGTAAACTATCCAACCTCATATTTGTATAATACATTCATACTGGTTGTTACCTTCAATTTTCTATCCTAGACAGGATCAAGAAGCCTGGGTTTGGCCCCAGGTCATGTTCTTCGTTTGCTAACATTTGCTGTAGATTTAGCCTGAAGAGACCCAACAAGTGCAGGATCGAAGGGCCTGGGGTTCAGTACCCAGGCCTTGCATTTTATTTCACTAACATACTTTTGCAGGTATAACATTCCAGATCGAAGGAGACACCTTCTCTGGATCGAACCCATTAGCACGTTGGATCGAAGGAGGCATCTCACTCCTGGATCGAAAGCCATGACCTCCATGATCAAAAGACAATCCCCTTCCCTGGATTGAAGGCTGTTCATGCCCACTTCCTGGCCCAATCGAAAGAGCCATGATTGTCTGGCCCAATCGAAACTTCCATTCCCTCTATGGGTCGAAACTCCCTTTTTTGCCTGGATCGAAGGATCCCCCTTGTACTTTATTTTTTTTCTTGTTTTTTTTCATAGACTTCTTTTTATCTTTTAATTAACATTAAAATAAAAAAACCACAAAAACATTAGGCTAGTTTTTTTCTATTAAAATTAACTTTGTTAATTAATCTATTAATTATTTTAACATTTTTCCAAAACTAAAATTAAGTATATTTAGATCATTTTCTCAAAATAAAATAAAACAACAAAAAATAGTTCTTATTCTTAGGATTTTTTGTAGATTCACGCGCGTTTATTTTATTGTAACTGCTTACTGGTCTGTGGTAGCTTAAATTAAGATTTTTTTTACTTTACTGCTTTTATTCCCCCAAGTTTTGGACATGTAAATAATCCCCCTTCCCGAAGCTTTGTAATAGCGTAGGATTTACAATTCCCGCACTTTAAACTCCTGTACATATATTAACTGTTTAGATGTATGCTAACTAGGATTGCATGGCAAGATCTATCTTAATTTAAAATCAACCACAACTCACCTTAACGTGTGCAAAGATAATACAAACTAAAAATTGACACACTTGCACATGCCACTCCTAGGGTACACCTCACTTGGTTGCCTCAAATGTGGTCATTAAGTATAGGATGTTTTAGAGGTCGTCCTGTTGTCCCAAGATCATAAGTTGCCTCGAAACGGTTTCCTCGATAAAAATGATCTAAGACATTAGGATTACCACTAAAGCGTCCTAACGTTGCTTCAGTGACCACACGTCCCTAAAATCGAATTGACCCGAAAACTCCAACGACGGTGCTACCTACTCCTCAATAGTGGGATAGCACTGTCTAAAAGACATTCGCACAATTTAATTCCTTTTCGAGTAGGTAGAGGTTCTTAAATACTTGCTCATTTTAAAAACAAAAACAAACTTTTCGCACTTACACTTTTCTTCAAACAAAACTCTTTTCAAAACCCACAAACACAAAGAAAATCAAACTTTTGAAAACATAGTGAGCAAGTACCTAAGAGCCCGTTGATAACCACAGATAGAAAGGGTGCTAACACCTTCCCTTTCTATAATCTACCTCCCGAACCTGAGAAACATCTCGAAAAGGAATTTTTCTGTGCTTTTGTCCTTTCCCTTGTTGGATAAAATAAAAGACGGTGGAAAATCTTGCTTAACCGCGACATTTTGCAAAAACAAACGCAAACGCGAACCAGCATTCCCAAAATAGTCAGTTCTCGTTCCCACCGATCACACTTCCATTGCAAAGAATTAGCTACATGACGAATTTGTACATCATATTTTCTTTCTTCTGCATGCCATATAAAATTCTTTGTGTCATCTGCATTGGCAAATAATCTCTTGAACCTTGAAATTATTGGTAGGTACCATACCACTTTCGCAGGAGGACCCTTTTTGTCCACCTCATAATCAATTGGTTCACCATCTTTCTTTTTGTAGCGTGACGCCTTGCACTTCGGATAATGATTATAGTTTACATACTCTTTTCTGTATAATATGCAATCATTAGGGCAAGCATGTATCTTTTCATACTCCAAACCCATCGAACACAATATTTTCTTCGCCTCGTAATAACAACTTGGCATTACATTACCTTCTAGAAGCATTTCAGTCAACATTTCAAGCAACTCGGTAAAACTTTTATCAGTCCACCCATTCTTTGCCTTCAGATTAAATAATTTTAACACGACTGACAGACGTGTAAATTTTTTGCATCCCGGATACAATGGTTTATCCTTGTCACTGCATATAGTATCATACGTATGTGCCCTCTTAAACAAATCTTGTCCAATATCACGCATCATGTCTTCTAGACGATCATCCATTTCTACACTAACATCATCTCTTTGAGACACTTTTGACTTTGCTACTACTTCACCATGCCATATCCATTATGTATAACTTTGACAAATCCCTACACAAATTAGATGATCCATGATTTCTTTCTTACTACGTTTTGGTTCTTTATTTTCACAACAAACACATGGACAGAGAAAAAGCGTAGGAAGACTTTTTTCAGCATTACTTTCAGCAAACTGTAGAAATTCCATCACTCAGTGTTCTTACTCGTCACTTAATCGATTAGCTCTCATCCAACTATGATCCATGACTATGTTCACACAGAGGAAGGTCTGACAAAGGGTGTGCCCGCGGTTGCGCTACTTCACGGAGATTCCGAGATTGCAAGTTGCGCTGCTTCGCGGAGAAAGAAAAATAGAATCAAATTTCAATGGCAAGGTGATAACTCTATTAAGTTTGATAGGTTAAAGATAAACTGTATGTTTCTGAGAGGACCATTAACGTTTTTTTTCGGAGGTTTCTAAGTAGACAATTTCTCTAATGAAAAAGAATGACTAATTATACACAACGTGTACTATATTCTTAACTTTATACAAAATATATACTATTTATAACTAATTAGACTTAATTAACCTCTCTAATAATAATAAACTGTTTAGTAATTAAAAAACAGATATGAACAAAGTAATGGATTCAAAGTATAATATTCTAATTATTTTTCTATGTACTTCTAATTTTTTATAATGAATCTCAGTAGCAAGCAAAAAAACAAGAATATCTTAAAAACTTTTTTGTATATATAACTCTTAGAAATCCATAGATATACAATGAAGTTGAACAAAATAGAAAATTTCGTATCGGAATCGTAGTTGGATGGAGGAGGAGGTTTCAAAGACGGCGACAGTGTGACAGCTGGAGAAACGCCTCCGTCTTCGTGCAACCGGCAAATATGACGACTGGAGATTCGGCGGCCTGTGATGGTAGGGCATCGTTCGTAGGCGGAGGATCTGTGAGGAGACGGTGAATCTGCGAGGAGACGGCGGAGGGAGGGCGAACGGTGGACAACGTTCGTAGGCGGATGCGTTCATTGGAGAAATGGGCGGAGACGGGAGGATACGGGCGGAGACAGACAGAGTAACATCGAGGGTTGTAAAGGTTCGGGCTGAGACGGACGAACAATAACGAAATAAAGCACATTCTGGGTTTATTTCTCAAATATATATATATATATATATATATATATATATATATATATATATATATATATATATATATATATATATATATATATATATATATATATATATATATATTAGTTTTTACATCGGTGGACATATAAACCGATGTAAGGGTTCATAGGAGCTTATCTTTTTTACATCGGTGCAAGAATTGACCCGATGTAATAGTTACATTTTGAGGTTTTTAACATCGGTTTATCGAAAGGACCGATGTAAGGTTTCTCAGGTTTTTTACATTGGTGGATTAAATGGCCCGATGTAAGGGTTAGCATGTTTTTATATTACCAATCTGTCACCCTCTTTTTTACATCGGTGGAATGCAGGAACCGATGTAATAGCTAGCGTGTTTTTTATTTACAATTCTGCCACCTGGTTTTTTATTTACAAAACTGCTACCGTGTTTTTTTTACGAAACCTTTTACATCGGTGGATTAAATGGCCCGATGTAATAGATAGCGAAAAATATTTTTTTTTCATATTGTTTATATCATTGCAAATAAATACCTGATGTAAAATGTTTTTAATTTTATTTTTTACATCGTATATTTTTATACCTGATGTAAAAACCTTTTCTCAAATGTCATTTTTTTAGTAGTGCTCATTTTTCATTTGATAATTTATTTTATAATTTTTCTCACTTCGCCACAGTTTGTAATTGTCTATAATACTATAAATAAACCTATTTTATTTCAGGTATATATATATATATATATCACTACAAGAAAAAAGCCCTTTAGTTAAGAGGTTAACTCCTTACTAAGCTAAAAAAACACTTCACAAAATCAACATTTGTGAGGGGTTATGTCCCCGAACTAAATCACCGGTCGCAGACAAGTGGTGAGGAGCTAAGCAGCTAGTCAATTAGCTTGAGGATAAACCCCTCACCAAAGACAAAATTTGATTGTCCATTGGCTAGGGGCTTTACTCCTACATTAGCTAGGGGGTTTAACCCAAGCTTAAAACCAAAATTTATTTTTTAAATTATAAACGTCATATTTAGTTTTCTTATTATTATTATATTTATAATCAATGAATTTCATAATTATAATTTAATAAAATAAAAAAATTCAATATTAATAATATTAGTAATATATTTTTAAATATAATAAATAATATAATTTATAATTAATATTATATTAATAAAATACAAAATTAAAATTAAAATATTACAAGAACATTATTTATAATTATAAATAAAAAGTGTTATTGATAAAGATTAATTTTCTTTATCGGTGTTATTGTCTTCATTGTCATTTTGCCCTTGATTATCACGCCCTCCAAATTGTTGCATAAGTTGTTGAAAAATACGCATAGATTCCTCATATTTTCTAGTTTTTCTTCTCATTTATTCCTCCATCTCTCTTTGTCTCTTCTTTAATTCTTCTATTTCAAAATTTCTCGCTTCCACTTCACGGGTAGCCTCAGAGTGCGCTAATGATCTCATAGTTTCCATCATGTCGGGGGTAAGTGAAGGTTGAGTCGATGATTCTTCACCATCATCAATTTGCATTATGAAACTCCTATCACGCTGCCGAATTGTTTTGGCGAGACCTCCAGCACCATACACTCTCCCATTTTTTCTCTTCCCACAAGATACATCATACCAAGTCTAAAAACTCAAACTAGGATCAGTGAGAAATCCCGATGGAGGTGGTGTATATTCATGATGTTGTGATAATCTTAGGGCAAGCTATTTTTCATACTCCTCCTATTAAAAAGAGTAGGTGTTATTGCAATTTAAATTATGCTAGACACAAAAGAAATAAATAAAATGACTAAGTTTAAGGAAAACTTACTGGAGTTTTTCTTGAGCGCTCATCAACAAACTCTCCATTTTTCTTGAGATGAGTCTCCTTATGGAACTCATTAAGAAGAGGAGTTCTGCTTATTTCATCACGCTTAGATGACATAAAAAATAGTTATAACAAAATCTAAAACTGTTGAGTTAATTACAAAATAATTAAATTTACCATTCTCTGTGCAACATCAGAAATACTAATACTACCATAGGCGTAGTTGCAGCTGCCAATTTCAAAGGCACTATTTTTCTTGGCCTTTTTAGATGTACTCTTAAAGGAATCAAAATTCCAATGGGAAATAAGCTGCTCAAATACATCTGGACTTATCCAACGGGGACGCAAGCGTTTATTTTCCCAAGTAATTCTAATAAGCCTCATCGTGTCAAAAAATCGTTGAGCACATTTAATGTTAAAATTATCTCTTATTTAGATATCATCTCTAGGGTCCCAACAACATTTCTCCTTCAAAAAATATGAAATAAAGTTATAATCATGATTGAGTGAATTACTTTAATAAAGGTAACAAAGATCAAAAAGATTAAAACAAGTTGATTATACCTGAAATAACCTAAACTAAGCCTCCCTCTCATCACCATTAACTACACCATACGTATGCCAAAATTTGATATACTTTTCTTTAATGATCTCAGTGATGCAAGCTGCTACCTGATGTGATGGGTAAAATCTAAGCAACCAAAAAATGAGTTAGTATTAATTATAAACGAACAACTGAAATTTATAATTTAAACATAAACACTTACGATGATCCCTCTGGCTGAATGACAAATCGTCCATTCCTCTTCCTAATTACTTGTGATACATTTCTCAAAATGCATGCATTCCTATGCTCTTGGCCAGTCTCGTCCTGAACAACCTGCTTTGCATGGTCATCATCATCACCCTGCTCCTCATGCGGAGAATGCATGGGTGATGAATGTGACGTGCTAGATCCACCACCTGGATCCCTATACTGCGTAAATGTTGGATCTATAGTAGGTATGGAGGTGTTAGGTCCAGCCTGGGGAATATAAGATGTATGTCCAGGAGGACTAAGAAAAGATGAGGGGGAAATGTCAGGAAATGTAGAATAAGGTGTGGATAGTATGTCTGTGATTATAGAAGGAGAAGGATGCATAAATGGTGGAGGGGGACGCATATATGGTGGAGTGTGATGCATATGTGCTAGAGTAGGATGCATTGATGGTGGAGTGGGACGTATAGATGGTGGAGTGGGATGCATATGTGGTAGAGTAGGATGCATTAATTATGGAATGGGATTCATAAGAGGATGATGTGGTTGTTGACTCGATTGTGGTATAGAAATAAGGTTAGCCGTGTAAGGAACGTCTTCTATAATATACCTCGATTGATTGCGGCAAGGATTATCTACTGGGGTCTTACCCTTATCTTCACGTCGGGTGGAATTTTTTTCTATTTTTAAAGACAAACATAAAATAATTGATACATCAAACTTACAAGAATAATATATAATAATTCAGGAAAGAATGATATTATTACCCAAGAGTTGTTAGACACGAGCAATATAATATTACACAAATTATATTAAACAAATTAATATTACACAAATTAATCATCATTCATGCTCATCTTCACTATCTTCATCAGATATGTTATTATAGTCTTTAGACTCTCCTGAATCTTCATGCTCCTTTTCTATAGGTGTCAATGAAATAGTGGTGTCAACTTGTTGACCCTCAACTGCAGTATCACACAAGGTTGCAATCTCCTCAATTTCAATATCCCCATTGACAGGTGAAATCTCATCATCTTGGAATGCCACATACTCTGTTACATCTCTAGTTTCAATATGACCTATTGGGTTAGACTTGATTGCAACACACCATCCTTATTTTCGTGGTTGAATGGAAGGATAAGGTCCATAATAAACTTGCCTAAAATTGTGTGCCATTATGAAAGGGTCATACTCTTTGTACTTCATGTCCACTCGAACCTCAACAATGTTGTATTTTTTGTCTATTTTTGTTCCTCTAGAAGATGGATCATACCAGTCACAATAAAACAAGACAACTTTGTTTTCTGAGTCCATATAATTATATACCAACTCGTAAATATGTGTGATAAAACCATAGAAGTCGTCCTCACCATCTTCTGTAATTCCCTTTACAACTACACCACTATTTATTGTTTTCTTCCCTTCTGCCCATGATTTAGTGTGAAATTTATATCCATTTACAAAGTATGTATGCCATTGATTTGCACGTTGATGAGGGCCTTCAGACAAACTCTTCAAATAGATTATTTTAGGACTTGGTGCAACAATGAGTGATAGCTGTTGTTTGAACCATGCAAGAAGATTGGCATAAGTGTAACCAGTCGATGGTTGTTCGCCAGTGCTTTGGAAATAGTTGGTACTAAATGCCCTATTTAAAAAGTAATAATAGGTTAGAGAATAAGATATTTCAAAGGTAATAAATATATACGTAATTTAATATATATATATATATATATATATATATATATATATATATATATATATATATATATATATATATATATATATATATATATATATATATATATATATATATATATATATATATATATATATATATATATATATATATATATATATATATATATATATACTTACTCAAGATATGGTTTCACTTCATGGCAATTAATCAACACATGAACATGAGCAAATTGCATTTCTTTTTCAGACAACCAATGATCACTTGTCTTTTCGGCTGAACGGCCAGGACGACCGAAAACAGATAAGGTGAACTGACTTCTTTCAATAAAGTGAACTTAGTTCCTTATGATTCTTGGAGTCAACATCATGTGATTGAAATAATGGGAGCAAAATTTTGATGTTTCGCGATGCAAGTAATATGCATATATTGATCCCTCAACTCTTGCCTTATTTTTCATTGATCGCTTTGAATCACCCATGAAACGTTCAACTTGATACATCCATCTGTATTGAACAGGTCCTACGAGGTAAGCTTCATAAGAGAGATGCACAGGGAGATATGTTGCACCCCAAAATTTTCCCTTTCATTTTCTCAAGTAATCTCTCACAAGATTTCCATTGATTCAAGACTGCACAAGGTTTGATCAGCTTAAGACACCTCCTTAAGCACTGATGACTGAGAATTAGGGTTTGGGTTTGCACAAG